TTCTGTATGTTATTGTTTTCTTCTTAGGCCGTCATATATTATTGCCTCTCGTGGCGATGTATAAACTTCTCGAGTTTAAAGACCTCTTCTTTCGAAATGGAGTTAAGACTAGGTAGAATGGACTTTTGGAAAATTCTTTCGTTTTGCTAGGGTTTTTTGTTAAAGAAAAAATCCACGGTAAACCATGTCAATAATTTTCCTTTCGTATAAAATTTATTTACATATAATATCATCTGCTAGAAATCTACCAAACAATCAATTCGATTTTAATTGTTTGTTATTAAAATCGATGTTGAGTTTTAAATTGAATATTTGGCTTTCTATTGGCCACATTTCCTTTTGTAAAAGTTTATAAAACGGTATACCGTCTGAAAACTTGCTTCATTCAGATTGATTTTTTTATGAAAAAGCATTCAACTCTTTTTTCAATATGTAAATAAATTGCCAGCAAAAAGTGTCTCCAGAGACTAATATATGTGGTGAAATTGTGATAAAAGCATGTTAAAAAAGAAAAATAAGTCTCCAACGGATTTCAATAAAGTCTATGATCTGTTTAGGATCTACTTCAAATATTCATTGTCGTCTAAAAAAACTCATCTCCGATATAAATCATATATGCCAATCGATGATATAAGTAAACTAAGTGAAAGATAGGAGAGCGGGAGGCAAAGAGCGGCAAAGCATAAAAAAGGCAAATAGAAAGGCATCATTGAAATTTGTAAAGCAATAACATCTTATGGATGTCATCGAGATAACGCATATAAAAGACACTCACCGAGAGTCCATTGTTATCACCATTTAGTGTGACAATTCACATTCACATACTCATCAGCATCATAGAGCTCTCACTCAGTGCCACTTGTGTCAAATCTTGTATTTCGTATCGCACAATGAGCATTGAGCATGCATATTCATATATGAATGTTTGTTAGCGAGCCTCAAACAACGGAATGGAACAAAACCACATTTGAACAGATCTTATCCCTTGCTCCCTTCCACCCTTCGTTGCACAATCATCCAAATCAGTTTGCTGACAACAATTTCTGCAGAGAGTGCGAATGATAAGTATAAGCTGTTCTTCTACAGACTTTTTTATGTATATTTTCTTCATTCTCTCGCTTCCATCCATAAAAAAGGAGACAAATAATTCGCGTTACACTGCAGACAGCTGCATTTGGAAAGTATATTTTTAATATCGAAATGAAACGAGAAAAAAAACCGACGTAGAAAAACATAAATATTTGAACTGCGTGATTGTTTTAACACTGATTCTCATTCACATTATACTTGACCTGGTGGCTCGTAAATCATTTATTAAATCATCAGCAAAACGACTGGAAATGAGTCTATTAATGGAATTTTATTAACGTAATATCGTGTAATTAAATTACACTTTTAATTGGTACGGTTCGAGCATGTGAAAGAGCTTTCGAATCTTCAGACGACGCAGTCTCATATAACTTTTTCATGTTCGCATAAAATGTAATATTTAGTGGATGAAATACAGTAGTTTTATTGGGTTGTTTGCCTTAAAGCCAAATGTGAATTCTCTTGCGCGCGCGACGACCAAGAGGATAACAATATAACCAACTATATCAACGGCACCACACATTTGACGTGTGTGTGTGTGTGTGGGGGATTCATACATGTATTTTTGTACAATGATGACGACCAAATGTTAATATGTTTGGTTATATAGTAATGGCCTTTCGGCGAATTGTAGCCGAATTGGTGTGAGAATTTGAAAACGAAAACACAAAAAACAAGCATTGAGCGCGTTATGAATGTGCAACGCAAAGACAAAAGACAATGATATTCCAGTGATATAAAAAAAATGTAATAAGACGAGATGTGTTTAACAGGCACGCAAAAACACATTGTCACATATACACACATATATTCACTCCAATAAATTGTAATCTATGTGTGATTCCTCTTCCTTTTTTACTACTCGTATTCAGATTCATAAATTATGATGAAAAGCAGTGCATAGCATGTTAAGAGCTGCTGCCAGTATACATATAGATGTGTATTGTGTGCAATGAGTATGAATTTAGCCACCATAAAAAAAGTGGCGGCGAGAGAAAGAGAGAGAGAGAGAGCGTGCACGCGGCTGTGGCAACGAATAAAAAAAGCACACGAATGAAAAGAAAGTGCCACATAAAATATAAAGAATATCGTGTAATGTAAATAGAAGAGTATCCGCATGAATCCGGCAAAAGCAAACACACACACACACTCAAATCGACTCACACCCACATACGAAGAAGAAGAAAAACGAAAAGCAAAGCAAAAATATGGAACAAAATGAAAAGCAAACAGCAAATCTGTCAATTGCTCTCCAGAGACATTCAATGAAGAATGAACTGAAATAACATGCAACATCACGGAACAAAAGCTCCATCAAAATGTGTGTACTATGTGCCAAAGACAATGACCAAGGACAAAAAAACACATACGAGCTACAAAAAAACCATAGAAAATCGAATATTTTGTATGTGTGTGTGCATGCGAGTAAGTCATGCGTGTGAAGCGGTTATCATATTTCTAATGGATGAAAGAAAGAGCAAAGAATTAACTCGCTGAATTTTCTTCTTCCTTGTACAGAGATTTTGTAGATGAATGAACTAAAATGCAGTTAAATACATTGTCCACAGTATTCTTATTTACTTGACGGTACTTTTCTCTTGCTCTGCACTCTTTTGCGCTTGCCGTTCGGCTTTGAATTGCACGCTGGATATAGACAAAGCTCGTTTTGATCCAAATCCAGCACATTTAACAAAAATGCTGCATCCTCTCGTCGTTTCTTCGGATTTTTCTCTTTCGCTCTCTCTCTCCCTCTATTTTTTATTAAACACTCATTCGTATACGATGTATTATGTTTTAGTTTATTGTCGTCGAGTCTTTTAACACTTCCACATATTTCGTGGCATTGTTCATACAAAATACTCGTTCATTCCATAACAACGTCTTGGTAGATTGTTGTTTATGAGACGATCTTTTGTTTTCATTATACATCATGGTGTGCCGCATTACAATCTATACATGTATGTTCGCTAGTGTGTTAGTTTTCATTGTCCCGATTCGCTGAAGCAAAAGAGAAAAAAACACGTCCACGTCTGATTCATAAACGGTAATACGATGAGATGAATTCTTAAAACAACAACAACGACAAGGAATAAGAAGGCATAAATATTCTGTTTTCAATAGATGTTGATTTAAAATGAAAGACAATGTTATTCGAAACCAAAAAAAGTGCTTCCTTTCTATCGAAACATCATAATTCCAATTGGAAATTCTAGTGAATTCAAGCTTTTGAAC